CGATCGACCAATGGCCAGCAAGACCCCCCCCCAAAAAAAAGAACAGGATCCCCACATTGTATAGACCTCATCCAACCTCCATCCAACCCCAACCTCTAAGCTCATCCGAGGTCGAACATCCATCCTCATCCATCTGTAGACGTGGGGGGCGGGGCCCGAGACGTGGAGCCGCACGGGGGTCTCCCCGTGGAGCCATTGCGCCCGTGGACAAGCAGGCTCAGTTTTATAGTGACCTGAATGTGAGAGGCCAGGAACACTTCATGCATCCCCTAAACTAAAGAACCCCCCTATGCCATGTGTACGTACCTCACACCACCCGCCAAGTCCGGCAAATCTATGCAGTGCTCCGTGCCAATCCGTGCAGCCAGGCGACGTACATCCTCTGGGGTGAAAGCGGAGGATGTGAAGTCCAAGCCCCATTCGGGACTGCCACCGGAACTCGAACGTCGCGTCGTTGCTTTCGAACTCCGGTCGTTCTATGTCGCCGGTCCGGAGTTCGAGACGTGAGGAAGATCGGTGGAACCGAGCGGAGAAAATGGAGTCAACGAGAAGTTGTCTGCTTGGTCCAGTTTTAGAACACTTCATTCCAATAAGATCTATAATCAAGAATCTACGACAACGACAATAACTATATATATGAGAGGCAAAAGTGACAACTCACCTGAGATGTTCTTGAAGAGAAGCCACGTCAGGACCTGCCTGGGACGTCTGCTACGCCTGGCGAGTCAATGCATGACAGTGGAGTACAAGCAGGAGCCCCCTCTTGGTACTGGTAGGACACTGCAGTGCCTGCATGGAGCAGCCACCATGCTGACACAGTGCCCTTGGTCCCCTTTCTTCAACGTGAAAAAGTCTGTTGGCACAGTGGGTTTTGGACGACGTCTCCTCACGTCTCCCCGTTTGCTCCCGTCTCCAATGAGTGAAATGGGTCAAAACGGCGGCGACACAGGGAACCGATGTCTTGCTCGGAATCCGGCGGGTTACGCGGTGTATGGAAAGGTTCCTTTGTGATCAGGGCAAAGCATACAAATCCACACCATGGTGCCATGGTGATGCAATTGTCCTCAATTGACGGACAACTGCTGGGTGATCCATGTTTGGATGTCGAGAGGGCAGGGGCATTTCGGTTTCCGGAGGGCTGGGCCGCCGCTCGAGGATGTGATGGCGGAAGTGAAGCAGGCCATGGGCCCCAAGACGGAGTTCCTCTCGGCGGACAGGCGCGGAATGGTTCAAAAGACATTGCTCGTCGGGTGGCTCGGGCGATGGCTTTTTCCAATGATTTTGAGTGTCACTGGTGGCAGGTCCTCTTGGGGTGAATGCTTGTATTTTGCCCCAGACGAAGTGATGGAGATACTCACCAACAACCACGAGTCGATGAGGGAGGAAGGGTGATCGCACAGCAAAGTTAGAGATACATGAGGCTGTCAATCCATCAGTAGGTCTCAAAGATCACTATGATTGCCATGTCCCAGACACTCCAGGGGACGAATCTATGCCTGCATTGAGCCCTGAAACCACCTCAATGTAATATGCCCGTCCCATGGATCGTTTCTGTGGCCAAGGCTTAAGCGCGTAGCTATGGAGTGCTATGGATGTGTTTGTGATGTTGCAGGGCCGGCTGTCAGGTGCAAAGGATGCACCAATGGGGTCAAAAAGCCTTTGGAGCAGCTGGCAGCTAGTTACTCTGAGATCGGGTTGTTCGCACCATGAAAAGTACAATTGAGTTGGGTGGATTGGTGTGGACCCGAGATTTGTATAGATTCAACCATGCTGGATCCATATTTGAGTAACTGACGCTCAATGTATGCTTTACTGCTGTTACTCAATGTATTTGCTGTATGTAACTCATGCTTCCGGATCCATCCAACCCCTGGAGTTCAGCATGTGATCAACGCGGTGTTTCTTTCAGCGGCAGAAGCCGGCGGCGCAGGTGCCCGCCAATGGAGCTTTACCAGGAGACACGGCCTTGGTCTTGGTCTGATTGCACTGGTATAGAGGGCCAACTATGGTGATTTGTAGGGTACAACTCCGAGAGACAAGAGGTTGTGGAATTTGTATTTGTTTATTTTTTTAAATGAGCATGAGGGTTCAATCTCAAACCGCTGCGTACTGGGCTACATATACTGCAGATCACTGGTGGAGGTTTAGTGTCGGGGGTGGCTTGGAGCCGAATCCTGCGTCAATTTGTAGGTGGGAAAGATGCGGGGAACCTCAACAGCCCAAGACAGCTGGTAGGAAGGTGTACCCCTCTCCCCTGAGGTGATGTGAACATTGGCCTAGGGGTGTAAAGATAAAGACCCCAGCAGGAAGGGCAACTGACAACACTTGCAGACCACCCTCGGAAAAAGATACCATCAGCAAAAACTGTGCAAAAACAACTAACCAAACAATATATGTGTTCTATAGATGCTCAGTGTTACTAACTAGATTGCTTTCTTTTGTGTTTCCTCCATGTCCAGCCATGTCCAGTGCCGGCGAGGAGGTGAAGCTCCCCGAAGGGTCTGGCATGCAGGCATCAGTACGCGCGAGCATGAGTGAGCAGATACGCAAAACAGCAGAACGCCCAGGGCGAACGCAGACAGGCAAACATCTCCCAAGTTCAAGATACACCCTCCATCCAGCGGAAACGCGATTGCGTAGTGACCAGTTGTGACTGCAAGCAAGCGGTGGCAATTTAAAGAAATGATACTGTATTGTTCAAGTAGGAATAGTGAACCCCCCCTCCCCCTATGATTTTTTTTGAGGTCAACAATAGTAATCTCAATTGTAAACTTCCAGGCCATTTGCTTTTATTTTGCTTGAGATTTCTGAGACGCAATTAAGAGAGGAAGCATTCTGAAGGCAAAATGGGATCTGAGAGAAAAAACAGCTCATTATTGTCTAATGTTTATGATTTATAATTGATTCACACAAGTTGTTTTTTGGTTTAAATCAATGTTGGGGTTTGGATGTTGGCTAAATTAAACGTATATTGAACAATCCTGGCAGGCCAAAAAGCTGATTATTATGGATTCATGGTTTATTACTGCCAATTCAACAGTAACTAATATACTGTATAATAGCTGAGTCTTAGACCATGGAAAGAAATATGTGTTTTGTAGCAAAGTGAAAAATCCATCCCGAGAACAGTTAGCCACAGACCGGTCCGGGTCACGGCTTTTTGGAATGGCGGTAGCGGTGGGTGTGGGTGAATGATGGCTTTAAGAAACAACTGGACATTCTGTACGTTTGTTGGTTGAACGCTTTGGCTTCGCCACATGAGCACCTACGTATCAAAACCTGTGCTTATGTAGCTTAAAGGAGGTGGGACATCAGTTTTGAACATGGCGAGCACAAATGCTGGTGATGTATCAGTGACGGACAGAAGAAGCTCCAGGTGTTTTGCGTGCCTACAGATATATATGACATCATTTGACAGAACCCATCCATTTCTGAACGTGGCGATGGATTACTCTGGAAATCCAAATGCCCAAAAATTGTCATTATGGGAAAAAGCCACAACGTTCAGTTTGTTTTGTCCAAGTACTGTAATGACCCAAAAAGATTGTCAAATCAAAAGGGTATGGCAGGCCTACCCACAGCAAAACCGTATATGTATGTATATGTGTTTTCAACCTTTTGTTGAACAAAGCCTTCAAATAAACAACTCTCACACAAGTGGCTCCAAATAATCACAGCCGTAATGACCGAACAACATGCTCAAGGCCCGTTTGACCAAACAACTTGTATGCAAATGGCTTTCCAGGTAGTTTCATGGATGTATGCATGGATGTACTGCAAGTAATTGCAACAATTTGTACTTTTGTCTCATTTGGTCTGATCCAAACACACGGTGTTTACTCCCATTTCATCTCAACATTTCTTCTCAACGTGGCACCAGGTCACCGCCATCCTGCGCGTCCAAGCGCGCTTCTCGTCCGGGGCCTCGGTGCCGTCGGATGCGCAGGTCGGAGGGTCAGTGGAGCCGATGGCTTTGGTTCGTTCGTCCGTCCTTAGCTCGAAACCCTGCCAGAGTGGAAGGAAGGAACCATGACAGTTGGTTTTGTTTCGAAAAATCTTGGGAACCAGCCACCAAATGTCCTGCTCCTCGAACCAAAGAATTGTGCGGTGATCTTTGGGAGATACAGACTGATCTCTTAGAATCATATCAACAAAAACAGATGATTCACACTGATCCAACAGGGTGATGCATATACTCCAGGTTCAGAAGATCTCAGGCAGGTCGCCGAGGTTTCCGCTCTTGAGGCCCACTCGCTCGCTCCCAACACGCAATCAGCCATCATCAGCCCCTGGTACTCTCAGCAGAGAAAGATGATATTTTTGGTCCATGGAACGTGTATCACCCATCATAAAACCGTGTATCCGAGTGACTTTCGTCGAAGGTGCCACTCATTTTCGTGGAAACCTCCAGTTCTCAGGAATGGCAGCAGCACCATCAATGGCTTTAGCTTGAATGCCCCGTTGGCCACGCGTGTGCAGGAGGCACCAAGCGAAAGCGACCCACGCGTGTGTCGATAGACCCTGTGTGTGTCATGTAGATGGAGACTGGAGTTGGGGGGAGGACGGCCAACCTGCAAGCCAGCCCGCATGCGGCATGTGTCATTGCTTTTTGGTTTGACTAGGGAAAGTGGAAACCTATAAACGTTACTCGAACAGTGTTGGCATTCCCGTTGTTTGCAAGGGTTTGCGGTTTGCAATGCATGCTTGCCTTGGCTTCACAATACCTGAGACATTTGGAATGATGGGATGGTGTTTCTACACCTGGCACTGTTTGGTTGAGAATTCATCCATACTGTCCATACTATAAAAATTATGCATGCGTCCCGGCCGCATGTTCTGTCAACAGCAGCAGTTTTGATACACAGTACACAAGAGCACATCACTCACCGCCATGGCAGACTTGAATATTTTAACTTATATCAACAGCACTTCAAGGAAATCTAACCGTAAACTACACGTCAGTCAGGCTTTCGTCACCATGTTTGTTAAACCTTTCGTCACCCAAATCTCCTTTCGATCTCGCCTTTCTCTCGCCCAAACCGCGCGGCGTGACCGGACCGCCATGTCCTACGACGCCGTGGTCATCGGCGGCGGCAGCGGGGGAAGCGCCTTCGCCAAGCGGGCGGCCGGTGGCTCGGCGCCACCGGTGGCCACGAGCCACCGGGGTGACCTCACGGGAGGACACGGGTCACCCGTTGGGGTTGGAACAGCTTAAGCTCTTGGATGATGAAAAGACTGATGTAGATTTGTTGGGTATGTGGTTGAAAGAGGGAGACACGCAACCTTAAGTTATCTTAAGTCAATGTTATTTATATTATATATGTTTACTCTTTCTTTTCCCTATGTTCCTTCTAGGTCTTTGTGAGGCATGCTTGGAGTTTGTAGGAACTGTAGGCATAGAAAGCTGAGCGCGGTCAAGTCTCGGAACGGGAAGGACTTGCCTCATGAGGGTGAGAAGTTGAACTTTGAGCATCAAAGGGGCGCCCATCAAAGGGACACGTCAATTGTCTAGTTTCAAGATATTTAAAGCAGGTGAGCTTAATGTAGATGTTTTATTAATAGATTTATATATATATATATTTTTTTTTAATGGTTGTAGGGTCATTGATCAAGAGTCTACATTACTCAGTGGGGAAAGCTTTGGGCACAGCACTTTTTCCTGGCACTCAGCTTTACTCGTGGATTCATCAAGCGACACATCCGAATGAGCACGGTGAAGACGATGCTGACATGTGATGAAAGTGAAGCGAACCAACCTTTTGCACTCCAAAAAGGTTTGTTGACCACGACGGGGCAAGGTTATCAGAGGGGTGTGCTATATATCGCCTGGAGGTGCAAAAAAGAAATTTGCTTCAGCATGTCTTATGTCAGGAAGGTTGGACATTTGCGACAGCATCTGACAAGTATTTTGTGGTTTCGATGCCTTCTTGTTGTTCATATAAATACTGTTTCTTTATGGTCGTTTGCCAGCACTTAATTGGCGTAACAACAGACCCTCCCTTAGTGAAGTTATTTTCAGGCATTTTCAGGGTGGGAGTGGGAGTCACTTATATAGATTATATATTTGCAGGGTTGTCGCCGTTTCGGGGAGTTTGTTGGTTGCCCACCACGCACGCCTCACGATCCTCCGCGAAGGCTATGGCGCCAAAGTGGCCCTGGTGGAGCAGGGCCCCCAGTGGCAGCCCAACAAGCGCCGCAGCGGAGCAGGGCCGGGTGGCACTTGTATGAACGTGGGCTGTGTGCCGTCCCTTGGGCACGAAAGTAAGGTTACGGGTGGTGTGGGGAGGTGCGGGAGAGGAGCGACGGAAAAAGAAGGACATTTTGAGGTTGTTGACGTTGAAGAAACTCTTGAGAATCAAGGAAGTACTGCAACTCAGTGAAACTCTGTGAAATCACGAGTGTGACATGCTTGCATCAGCGCATACGGTAGTCCGCATTGTCACCAAGCTGGAAGTCAGTGCCAACCAGATCTATATATTACAATTCAATGCGACTAGGGAGTCGGAGTGGATTCTGTGGAGCATGTAGCTCATTTAAATCATAACTGTTGTGCTAAGGGTGCAAATTGTAGGGCTGCAAAACACTAGAATACGGCAGTCCAGTGTTGTTTCCTTTACTTGCTGGCTTTTAGCATTACGCCTTAGAAAGAGGGGGTGATGGAGTGCAAGGACCAAGGAAGACCACCACGTTGCCCCATGCCGCATGCCATACTGTACGTGTTCAAGATGTCACGAAAGTTGACACATGGAACAGGCGCTCCGGCCACGTCCCACCCAAACCATCTCGTTTGAGCATGTTTCAGCTGATATCGGATTAATGTTGACATGAACTGCAGTTTCACAGCATGTTTCTCCATCCAAAACCCAGCGTCGACCTGATAACATATAATATATAACTATTTGTGAATTTCACTGCATTGGATTGAGCATAGGATTTCCTCCGTATGCCATCTAGGCCGGAGTAGCAGGACTTGGGACGGACCCCCTTGGACGTCCTCGACGCCGGCCCAAGCCATAAAGGGTGCGCTTTGCTGCGACCGCAGGGGCGGTCACGACTTCTTTGTGAGAGGGAGCCAGACCCTTTAAACTGGTAGCGGAGCCCGGAGAGGCTGCTGCGTGCG